TTGCAGCCCTGAGCTAGACAAGTACCTCCTGGACCAAGTCATTCTCTCATAGGAGTCATGACTCTATGAATGTGTGGGTGTCAACAGGCTCCTGGGAGCCAGACACAGCCTGCAGCAAAATGCAAGCTAGGCAAAGGAGGCAACAACATAAGCTGGTTAGGTGAGTAGCAGAATTAGACTGCCCAGCAATGTGTTGGCATGAAGAGAAGGAACAAAAAATTTTGGACACAATACAATTAGAGTGACTGTTAAGCTAAAATATTTTACCATGTTCTCCAAAAAAATCACATGTAGGTCAGTCAATAAGAAAAGGAAAACCAAATAGATAATAAAATCAATATGTGCTTCTGTGTCTGGTGAGACAGGGAGAGCCTCAGAGCATTTATTATTGAGTTTTGGAAATAGGCATGGGTCTTGGATTTTGTCAGAAATGTCTACTGATGAGGAGGTAGCCCACTAAATGTCATGGGTAAAGTCCTTCCCTGACAGCCCACTCAAAACCCAGGTTGCTGGTCAGTGGATGCTGAGTGTGTTTCCCTCCAAGGCATGTAGTACTCCATGTCTCGTGTCACATAACAGTGGCAATTTAAGATATATCAAGAAGAGAACAATTAGTGTCATAAGAACTGGGAAAGGCCGGGCAGTGGTGGCGGCACATGCCTTTAATCCCAGCACGTGAGTTCAAGACCAGCCTGGTCTACAAGAGCTAGTTCCAGGACAGCCTCCAAAGCCACAGAGAAACCCTGTCTCGAAAACCAAAAAAAAAAAAAAAAAAAAAAAAAAAAAAAAAAAAGAGCTGGGAAAGAAGGGATGTGTTTGGGCAGATGTAGGGAGTGCCATGAAAACTCAAAGGGACCAAAGAAAAAACAAGCCAAATGATACAAGCATCTGTGAGGACAACCAGTGTAATACATGCTCAGTGGCCAGGTCAGAGGAGTAAAGGAAAAGACCATAAACACACAAGATAGTTAGGATTAAATTTACAATAAAAGTAAGAAACTTATGGATAAAACCCAAGAGCTTCCACTGAAACACATGAGAACAAGTATGTTAAGTGTCTTTATAACAAAACTATGGTATGTATTCATAAGGAATGCAGCCATAAAGAACAGAAAAAGACTGTGGTGTGTAGAAATGGCTAGAGCTGGAGGGCATTGAGTTAAATGCAGTGGGCTAGACACAGCAAGCTCTCACATGTTCTGAACACAGGTGGATGTTAGGAAAAAATTAACCTGAACATACACTATTGAGCACTAGAGGTCAGGATAAATCGAGGCTGGATTTGAATGCTACATGTAGGTACTGAGACAGCATACTAAACCCCACTAATATGTGTGATTAACGCCATTTGCTAATCAAAAATAAAATAGATTTTCCCATGGATTTCTGGTTAATGTCACAATGAAATTAATCAGCTCTAATCTAATGTGTAAAAATAATATATCCCCAAATGAAATAGCAAGAAATCTGTTTTTATAGCAAAATTCTAAAGTTGACTGGAAAGTTGTGCCTAAAGCTACCAGAACTAAACTAGCAAACATTTCCTTGAGAAGCAAGAGCAGTGTGGGTTTCCTGGGGGTAAGGAGCCAGCCTACCGGATGGCAAAGCACACCAGGAATCCCCACAAGTAATAGTGTGGTACCTGCCCATTACTGACCACAGGTGGCCAAGTCCAGAAACATCCACACGTGTTGGAACCAAGAGCAAATTAGAGAATGGGAAAAGAGGTTGGAGCCAGCACTACCATTTGTCTTTTTTTTTTAATTTATTTATTTTGTGGGTGGGTGCGTTTAGAGTATGTACACACACACACACACACACACACACACACACACACACACACACACACACGTGTATGTGCCTTTGAAGGTCAGAAAAGTGCATCAGATCACCTTGGAGCTCAAGTTACAGAGTTCCAGGCAGCTGTGAACCATTGGACATGGGCACGGGCAACTGAACTCAGGTCCCCTGGTAGGGCAGCAAGCACCTAATTGCTGTACAGTGTCTCCAGCACCATTCATTTGTTTCTGAGACAGGGACTCACTGTCTAGTTCAGGCTGGACTCTAACTGGCAACCCTCCAGCACTAGAATTACAGGCATGCACCACTACACTTTACCAATGTTTTTAATGAGATTGCCATTTGTGTAAAAGACCGTATTGTATCAATAGCTCACCCCACACACCAGAATGAATGCCAGCAATTCAAACAAAAGAAAATCTTTAAATACCACAAAAAATGTATCTGAATAGATACATTATAGATCATTATATGTAAATAGCATAAAATATCATGAATAGATATAAAATTAAAACTGATTATATGTAAATGTTGAGATACATTTTTGTGAAAAGGTCAAGGGCAGGGCTTTAGTCAGCCAGGAGCCATTGAGATGATGACCTAAAAGCAGAGACATATCAATAGTTTGAAGGGAAAGAATTCTCTATGTTTATGTTTGAACAGTCTCATCTTTGGCTTTTGTTCCTGTTTTACATGTTCAAAAATAAAATTAAAGGGTTTTTAAAAACATTAAACTGCCCTAGGCCCTGAGACCAGTATCTCTAATTCTGTATCAACTAAGTAGCACTAACCACACAGAGAAAATTATTTAAGTTGAACATATCACTCCATCTGTATACACATAAAAAAGCAAAACTCCACAGACAAAAAGCACTGCAAATATGTCTTCGTGCTTGCTGGGCAGGCTTTGTCAGGACACCGTTGTAATTCAGGAAGCATCATGTGTGGTGAGTGGACTTGAACAAAAGGGTAAAAATCTGGCTATGATAGAGAAACAGGGTCTCCATGTCAGGGGAGGCAAGACGGAAACGCAGATGGGGAAGCTTGGGAGGACCTCAGAGGACTGGCTTAGCCTGTTACATATACACACTGAAAGGACGTAGGAAAAAAGATATGCTGGTGGTCATGAGTGTGACATAGTCTGTCCAAATGTGATTTCTAAAAATCAACCCCCATAAAACTAGAAGGAAAACAAAGGAAAGGGGTGAGGTGTAACTCTGGATGAGATAGTACAAAAGGGACCTGAGATCCTGTGTGTGTGTGTGTGTGTGTGTGTGTGTGTGTGTGTGTGTGTGTGTGTGTGTGTGTGTGTGTGTGTTGTGTGTATTTAGTCTGGAAGGTGCTCCAGAACAGTCAGGATGTTGTCACAGGGGTCCACTTGTCATCAAAAAATGACTTTCACTTCTCCCTTCTCCTGCCCTTCTTGGCCTGTGACAGTTGGGAGAGCTGTCCCTGCCCCTCAACAGCTGCAGCACTGAGAAGGGTGGCCCCTGTACCTCACCTGGGGAACACTGTAGAGTTGGCCCTGGTGGTGTAGGTGTGCATAAACTGACCCTGGGGACCTGAAAGCAGGAGAACTTGTCTCGTCCCTTGATCCTTGCTGCATAGGGTACAGGGGCAATACTGGAGAGCTCACCCTGGTGAGAGAGCTGGCTTGCTGACCAACCCTGCAACCACACAGGTCCAGAATCAGGGCTGTGAGTTGGCCCACCCCAACATCCACCCCATCTATGATCTACTGGAGCATGTGAAGGGGCCAGTCCTACAGATCCAAAGCTGCAGGATTTCCACAACACAGGACAGAAACAGGATAGCCATGAGAAGAACCAGTGAGGGCCCCAGTATCAAAGTGTAGCCTTGAACAAGATCAATGACTCTGCATGGAACACTTTCAAGTAAAGATATATGGACTACAGTGAATATGATGATATTTTTCTTCTTTTTTTCTTTTCTCTTAAATTTTATGTTATTATATGGGGGGAGAGGTTGCAAGAACAGAGGGCAGGTAAGAAGGGAGAGGGAGATGAATGGAATCAAGATGGGTGATGTGAAAGACACAAAGAATTCATAAATAGTTTTTAAAAAAGGAATGCCTTGCATTTACTCAACTTGGGATACTTTGAGCAACAAAGAACTATTTCAGTGATAGATTAAAAAGCATTGAAGTCTGGCTTGGGAAACAGTCTTGGGAAAAAGAGAACTATAAAAACGTCTATCCTATAAAAATATAAAACTATAAAATATCTATATATTTTAAACTATATAAAATATATAAAAAACTATAAAAATATCTCCCCACCCCAAAAGAATGACAGGTGTTAAATGCAGAGGTAGTAACAGGATTGGACACTCAATATTTTCATAAGCACCAATCACAGCAGCTGACCCAGACCTGGCTTACGAATAGGTGAAATCAATGGGTGAGGATCACTAGGGATCAGGCTGTGCTCACAAAGCACTGGTATTAGCCTATTTGATATTGACAAAGAACAGTGTAATCTCTACAGTGCCTAGAGCAAGCCAAGCTATCAAAAGAAGCAAAACCAACAGGAAGCCTGGTTTACACCTCCAGGCACTAAACAGCACAAGATAGGCAATGCTGCCCCAGCCCCAGTATTCTTGATACCCCCAAAAAAGAAAGAAAAGAAAATGGGACATAATACAATTTTTAGCTGAAGCAGTTCAAAATGAACAATATTGTGGTGAGAAAGACAAAAAAAAAAGAGGTGCAGGGAACATAAATATTTTGTTTGCAAGTTTTGAACTTTTCTGTGGATTTCAAGTTTCTTTTTTTTCCAAACAGAAAGAGGACAGGGGGAAGATGGGAGATGATTTCAGACCTAGAGTGGCCATCCCAGGTAGCTGTTGAGTTACTATTCTGAATACAGCCCATGAGCTACACAGGACACTGAGGACCAGCCTTGGAACAGAGGAGAATGTTGTTAATAGTCTAGTTCAGAATGGATGGTAAGGCCAGGCTGTGTGGGAGCCCTGGCTCCTTGTGCTCAGCTGCTGGGTCTCAAGTTGCCTGGGATTCCCCAGACTTCATCTCCTGATAACTTGGAAAACTTGGACATCTCCCTCTGCTGCAGGCACTCCTGTGTAGGGTACATTTCAGTCCTCTATGGTGACTGACTAGCTGAGGAGGGGCCAAGGGCTGAGGGTGTGGGATGGTACACACTGACTTGTCTGCAGTGACCTTACCTGGGGCTTCTCTTCTTCTGCAAGATGGTGTCTAAACATAGAAAATAGAAAATTAGCAAGGAAGGCCTGTGACTCCTCTGCCTATGTGGCGGGGTTCAAAGCCAGCCTGGTGGAGGAGCTCTAGGGTGGGTCACTCACTGGGAAGTGGTTCAGGGCTCATCTTAGTGCTGTCCATGGCCAGTCCCTGAGCCCCTTGGCTAGTACACAGGTGTGTTTGATAGTTCCCCATACTGCCCAGGGCCCACATCCCCTCTGTTTGCAGCCTGAGTCTCCCAATGGGGCTGAAGTTCTCAGGAGAGTGGAGGCCAGGGACTGTGGGATAAAGGGACAGCTTCCTCCACTCTTACTGGCAGGGAAACAAAAACCAAAGCTAAGCCAGGGCTTATGATGCCCATTTCCACCCATACCACCCTTTCCATGTATCTCTACAGGTCATGTTATATTTTCAAAGGTAAGAAAACATCCTTCCTCCTTGTCCTCAGAACCACCCCACAGAAAACTGCACCATCATCATCTCCGTTGTCTCAGAGAGTGCTTTGCAGGCATCTTCCAGAGAGAGGGCTGAAAATCAGCATTACATTTTGCTACATAACTCACAGAGAAACTGCTCAGATCCTGCAGTGAAGTTCTTCCCTCCTTCCCAAAACAGCACAGGATGTGCCATGCTGCTGTTCACAGACTCACATGAGCCTAGCACATCTGAATCATGTGCAACCACTCTGTCCTGCTCTGGGTTTGACCCGCCCATCAATGAGCTGAGGTCAGAACTACCACAGGACCTCCTGGGATCAGTTTTATCTGATCATATCCATGGGACAAGAAAACAGAAGTGCCATTTTGAAACTAACTTCAGTTCTTTCTGTTGTGGAATATTATTTTAAGATGTGTTGCATTTGTTTATGCTATGCAACATTTGTTTAATAATGCAAAGATGTATTGCATACCTTTATGGTGCATTTGTTTAACTCTGTGAAGTTGTATCACTTTGCTTGTCTAAAACACTTGATTGGTCTAATAAAGGGCTGAATAGTCAATGGCAGGGCAAGATAAAGGATGGGCAAGGCTGCCAGGCAAAGAGAAAAAATAGGGGGAGAAATCTGGGAGGTGAGATCAAAAGAGCAAGAGAGGAGAAAGAGTAAGAAAAGGAGGAGAGCATCAGGAGCCAGCCACCCAGCTACACAGCAAGCCATGGAGTAAGAAGTAAAGAAAGGTATACAGAAAAGAGTAACATAAAAGCCCAGAGGCAAAAGATAGATGAGATAATTTAAGTTAAGAAAAACTGGCAAGAAACAAGCCAAACTAAGGCCAGGCATTATAATAACTCTCTGTGTGTGTTTATTTGGAAGCTAGGTGATAGGCCCCCCAAAAGAGCAAGGAGCAAAAAACCAACCAACAACATCTTTCTACCTTTTTCCAGAAAACTTAATTCTCAGACTACTGAAAGTAACTGAATATAGAAGACATTATGACAGAGAGCTAGGCAGAGACATACAGCACAAAGATAGATGCAGAGACACCCATTTATTCTCTGGGGAAGTTCCTGGGCTGTGAGCCTGTGCTTTTGCTCGCTCTTTTGCCACAGTTTCCCCTGGTGCTTCACATTAAGGGGCTTCACAGGACACCATCTGCTATAGTTTGGGTCTAGAATGTTCTCCAAAGGCCCATCTGTTAAAGGCTTATTCCCCAGCCCATGATGCTATTGGGAAGTGGGGCAACCTTTAAAAGGTGGGAACTACTGGGAGATCTTAGGCCTTGGGGGCATGTCTTTGAGGGGAATTGCAAAGTCCCAGTTTCTTCTGAGAGGAAGCAGCTTCCTTTTCCACACACTCATGGTACATCATGTCACCATAGGTCCCAAGCCAAGAAGACCAATAGAGCATGGACCAAAATTCCCAAACCATGAGTCCCAAACCCTTTCCAACTCTTTAAGTTGATTGCCTCAGGTATTTTGTCACAGAAACACCAAAGACCAACAGACAGTCCCTTCTTCTGCAGAGCAGTGCAGGTTCTGCTTGTCATGGGTCCCTTACCCTGAGGTGTGTTCTTCAGGTCTGAAGAGTCATTATCAGACAAATGTCTCCGGATCATGCAGATCTTCAGGGCAAGGAAACCTGCAGATATGGCTACTCCCAAGGCCGTACCAATGATGGCATATTTGAAATCTGAAGCACAGGGAAGAATTGAACTCAAGATTCAGCTGCCAGCCTCCAAGGGCCTTCCATGGCTCTACATGAAGGCCAGACTCATGTCCCTGGACCCTTACATCCCAATGTCAATCTACTGTGCTAGCCTTGTTTTCCACTCTCCCCATCCCCCAAAGCTTCATCCCTGTGTCTCTCCAACTCTCAGCTAACTAACTAAGACATCCAACTCTCAGAACTGTGCCCATCTTCAAGGGTCATTCAAGTGCAGCAGGACCTGGCCACCTGAAGTCTGGTGGTAGGCAGCTGACTCTGGCTTCCTGCCATCCTTAATTCATTCATTGACATTTCTATCAAGGATATGAAAATTGTTGCTATATGGTGAACCTGAAAGCTAATGGGGAAGGACCTGCGCTGTCTTAGAGGAGCCTGGAGTCGGCTGAGAAAGTCAGGCAAAGGGCTCACAGTAAGGTCACATGACAGGTGGTCTGGACTGGTGTGGGAGCCCTGGGGCTGAGGGCCTTCTTAAAGGAGGTGATGGGTGGAATGTTCCTTGCTAGGAAAGCAAGCCTCAATGTGTGGAGAAGCAGGCACTATAAGAAGAGGGCTGATGAGTAGGTGAGGACCAGGGAGAATGTCCATAAATACAGCATAAGGCATTGGAGGAGCTAGGGCTGCTGATCAGATACAGACAGTACACAGAGGTAGCCTGATGGCTTGTGTCCCCAGGATAATGCTATTTTGGCCACTAAGCAGACCTGTGGACAAGATGTGTGCTGGCTAGTAAGAATGAACAGCAGCATCTACCTGCATTCTTTACAGAGTCTTGCCTGACTCTGTATACAGAACATGTAGGGAGACCACCTACCAATCTCAGTCCCAGCAGACTTGTCCGTTGCCAGCACTTGAGTTCCTCCCACACCTGCAAAGAAAGAATCCCAAACCTTTTTAGAAACCCACAGCCAGGCCTGGGGATTACTTGGTGTAAAAGCAATTTCTACACAAACATGAGAACCCAAGTTCAATCCACAGCACCTACATTATAAAACGTAGGAGAGGCACAATCACACATGTGCCTGTAACCACAGTTTTGTAGTAGGACAGAGACAGGATAGATATGGGGATTACTGGCTACCAGCCTGGCTCTAGGTTTAGTAAGAAACCCTCGTGGTTGTTGGAAAGAAAATGGTCCCCAAAAGGAATAGTATTATTAGGTGTGGCCTTGCTGGAGGAAGTATGTCACTGTGGGAGTGGGCTTTGGGGTCTCCTATGCTCAAGCCATGCCCAATGTCACAGTTCACTTCCTGTTGCCTGAGGATCAAAATGTAGAACTCACAGCTCCTTCTCTAGCACTATGTCTGCCTATATGCTACCATGTTTCAGCCATGGTAACGGGATGAATCTCTGAAACTGTAAGCCAACCCCAATTAAATGTCCCTTCACAGCTAGCTAACTAAGACACCCTGTCTCAAGGAAATAGGCAAAGAATGATCGCGTAGTGTACCCAGTGTCCTTCTCTGGCCTTCACATAAATATTCACAGATGCATGTGTGCACACCCCAACACACACACTAAAAATAACAAAAAAAGCCCAACACTGGTGGGGACAGAGGGCAGAGTGCCAGCTGGGAGGTTGTTGGCCAAACTTGACTCCCCTTCACCTGCTTCCCCTTGACCACCACCCTCAAGGACTCAGTGGGATTCTGACTGTCATGGAGTCTCAGGGCCTTGCTGAAGTGCTCAAGCTTTCCCCAACACCCAAATGAGGAACAAGGTCTTGTTGAGTTCAGCACACTATTCCTGATCAGTTTCTAAGAATTCTGTGCTGATCCTAGCCTACATCCAGATCATACTCACCAACCCCTTTGTAGTCTAGTCAGGCATCTTCTGACTAGATGCCATTGGCCCTCTCTCTCTGTCTGGTCTCTCCTGCTCCCTTCTCTGCTCTTATCTGGTATTGGCTCTATGTTATTTGTTCCCTTGATCCCCACACCTAGGTGAGCTACCCTTCTAGGACCTCAATAGCCCTGTGCTTCCCCAACCTAACTGTCCAAGTCAATACCAACTCAACATTTTCATATTGCTGCTGTGCATTGGATACCATGCTAGTAGCATGTCAGCCAGTTATCAGCCCACAGAATATGTCTTGGTGCTCTCCCACTGTCTTCACTAGAGTGTCCAGTATTTGACACAGCATCTGACACATAGGAACATATAGGAAGTGTCAACAAATGTCTGATGAATGACTGAATTAATGATAGAGGCAGTAAAGGCCCAACTTCCTAGGGGAGAAAGGAATAGAGACTCTGTTTGCCCAATCAGTAAAGACCTTTTCCATCCACCCATGACCACTACCACTCTCAGTGACATTCAGCACAGGGTGTTAAGCCAGAATTACAAGAAGGACAACTGTGTTCTCTATTTAGTGGGGAGGAGATCATTATAAGACACCAGGGTTTATTTTTAAAAATTGGCTTCACTTTTAATTGTGTGTATAGGTATGTGTCTGGGGGGTGCACATGCATGCATACGTGCACACAGCTAAGGAGTCTAGTAGATGGTGTCAGATCCCCTAGGGCTGGGGGAACAGGCAGTTATGCACTGCCTGGCTTGAGTGCTGAGAACGCAACTTGAGTCCTCTTGGAAGAGCAGTGAGTAATCTTAACCACTGAGCATCTCCCCAGCCCCTAGTTTTAAAGTTTTATCTCACCCGTTTGATGGGTGAATGAAGCCTGGGGATTCTAGAGCAAAAGCTCACAGTCTTGTTCTGACTATAGCTCCTTTAGAGACACACAGATGTCTCTTTCAAACAGAAGTCAAGCTTACACACGTGCGTGTGTGCACACACACACACTTATCACTGCACATAATAACCTTGATTTTGTCTAATGGATGAAGACCCCAATAAGATACACTGCATTAACATTTCCTTAAATAAAGCCTGCTAGATTGGACCATTCATGCACCTGGGAAAGATCTAGAACTGCACTGAGGGGCTATGGATGAGAGCAGGATTTCAGGTAGATGCTCTAGCCTTAGAGCCACTGTGCTCCATGTTCACATTGAGCCATGCCTTCTGCTGACAGAGAGGCCTCTTTCTGTCTTTACTGGATAAAAGGCAGGAGGAGCCAGGGAGGGCATCCTCTAGGGAGGTTCCGCCTCTAGGGGTCAGCCTGCCTTTGCTGCCCAATCATGGGCTTCCAGGTTCCCATCTTTGGGTCTTCCCCTTGGCGACCACAGCTCTTAATAATGGGAGCACTTGTCATACACACTTTACACCAGCCCCAGATGAAACTGACAAGGAAATAAGGTTGAGAAATACAGATGAGAAAGCCAGATGCAGAGCCAATAGCCACAACCACAGGACCCAGAGGCTGTGTCAGGAAAGCTTAGAACACTGGGGAAGAGTGACGGGAGAAAGGAGGGAAGCCCCAGTGTCAAGCCCCAAGCCCTGCTCCAGCATCCGCATCCGACAGCATCCTGGCTCTGCTCTCCCCAGCTCCCATCCTAGGCAGCAATACTGTCTAGATTAACGTTGTCCTTACACTAGGCTCCTTCTGCTGGGTCCCAAGGCAGTAATCCATGCCTCTAGTCAGCTCAGCCTTTTTCAGGTCCCTGAGACACCACCCTTTCTGTACTGTGCTCAGATCCCTCTAAGCTTTGAGGCATTCTACCAGTCTTTGGAGCTTCCAGTTTGGGAACTTCTTCCCTTAGGTCTGCATTACTGTTGAGCAGATGTGTGAGCATGGAGACAAACTTACTGGATCGAGCTGTGCACTGGAGCAATAATTCCTGCTAGCTAGCCCTCTGGCCACTCGGCGGCAGCCTTTCCCCTCCTCAGGGAGAAAACTACTCCCGATCTGTCCTGACTCCTTTGCTCTCACAGTCTTACTGGGAGGTCTAACTCTCTAATGAGCCCCCGGGTGAGGATCCATCACCAGGAGACCTGCCTCCTGCTAGGGTCATGAGCTGGGGTAGTCCCTCTTGGGCTGTAGACCCTTAGCAAGCCCCCAGTTCTGCAAAGTAGCTGGAGGATGGATGGCCCTAGCAGGGCTTGTCTTCCAGCACAGCCAGAGTACTCCATGTGAGATGCCTTGCTCTGCACTGGGATGCGTGAGACCCCAGAAGGAAGCCCCAGCAAAGCCAGAAGAAGCTTCTTCCCATGTGCTCAGCAGGAGTCCTGGCAATGCTGAGGCAGGGCACAGTACTGGAACACAGGCTCTAAGACCCTCAAGCAGTCCAGAGGGGCTGGGCCTGGATGTACCTGTCATGACTGCTGTCGCTAAGGCAAATGTTATTTGCTACCACTAGCCCCATGAGCCTCACTGGAGTGGAGGGAACTGACGTTTCTTCTCTCTCACATGTGTAGGGCTGTTGTATTAAGTCAGTTAATAAATACACAGCACTGTTTGTGCTGCCTGTTGTTACTACTCAAAACAGACACACAGGAGGGAAGGTTATTCACACACACACACACACACACACACACACACACACACACACACACACACACACACACACACTGTGCCCCAGCACTGTCCCTTGTGAGCTGGGTATAGAGGTTGAGCCTCTGCTGCTGCCTTCTAGATGCATTTGCTGAGACCCTGAAGCATTCCAGAGAAGTGGTCCACACAGCCTCTGCGAGTGGCTCTGCCCTTAACAAAGCAGCTTCAGATAAATTTGATGAGGTATGATCACAGCAAAGTCTCCTGCAGCCTTCCAGCCTGGGGCCTACTCTGCAGGTATCTTCCAATGTTGCAAGAGTAAATGGCTCTTGAGCTAGGGGTGTAGGTAACTGAGTGGTAGCACACTTACTTAGCATGCATCAAGTCCCATATCTCATTGCCAGCACGGAATTGGGGGACAAGAGGAAATGGCCATACCAAGTGGCTTAACCCCTCCTGGAGCAGAAGAGGATGGGGCTGCCTCAGAAGAGCCAAGAAGAGTGATCCCAGGGCACAGTTTGGACTTGCCCATCTCTGTTGGAATCTGATCAGCTAAAAGCCCATCCCTGGCATCCAGGCCTCTTTGTGCTGTCCACCTGTTGGGTCCACCCTCACTGGGGGCTAAAATTCCCTGCTGCCACCTTATTTGGGAAGAATCAGGGTGTGTGATTCTCAGTTGTAGGCTAGTCGCCATGTGTCATTCTATAAGTATCTGAGCTAAAAATAGGGTGGCTGCCCTAAGTGTTTGTCAACTGATGCCTGGCCACATTCATCTTGGTACTTGAGCATTGTGGGGTGGGCGTTGGGTCCTAACTTTAGATCTTATGAATTCCGACATCCCCAGCTAGAGGAAATGGGTTTCAAATGTTAGGGCCAGCATCCACCTTGTCATTAAAGAGTCCACACACAAACAAGGAACCGGCAGCAGGCCAATTCAAAGTGCCCTGAGGAGATCATGAGCTGCCAAAGAGTGACCAAGGAAACTTGAATAAATGTCTGCCACCACCCTTGATGCCTTGTCTGCTAGTAACACCTTCATGTTTCTCTGGGGAGCTACTTAGGTGATTTTTGTTGGGGAAGGGCTGGCTCCAGGATGGCCTTGTGAAGCACACTGGTCACTGACTTAGGCGATGGTCTTGACACATCACCGTGGAAAATCAGGCTGTCAAGTGAGGTGGGAATGGAGAATGTAGGCTGAAATGGGGAACTAATTAGGACAGTGGCAGATAAACCCTGTGAGAGCATGCAAGCAGATCAAGCCCTTATACATCCTGGGCCCTTACAGATGCTGCAGTCTTGGTACAATGCTTTCCCCTGTCCTGATGTTTTTTATCACCTCTAAGAGTTAGCATAAAAGCCACCTCTAGAAGTCCTCTGGAAGTCTCCTATTGGCTCTGTTGGTCCAGGATCACTTCTGCACCCTCCTCAGACCTCTCCCCATGTGTCATGCTCTATGACACAGAGGTACCAATAATAC